ACAGATAAAAAAAGTTTGATTGTAAAATTTCATGTTGTACATCTGTGAACACCTGTAGTAAACATGATTAGAATTTGTTATAAAAATCAAGTTAACTGTTGATGTTTTCGTTTTGTTTATCAACTGTTTTAACAACTGTTGGTTTCTGATACTTTGCCAGCTTTTGGTGTTTAAACCACAACTTTTAACAATTATAATTTATTACTTGTATTAAGTAGTAGCATGTACAAAGTAAAATTTATCGACATGTTTAAAATGTTTAACTGGATCCATTTAACTATATTGTTCACTTATTAAAATGGTGCCAAGTGAAACAAATATATTTATCTTCAAGATTCAATAGTAGTGTTATATTGAAGAAAAAAGAGTATAAAAGCTTTAACAGAGATTACTAAAAATATCATTATAATAGGTTTATTCGAAATATCTTGTGAAAGCTTAGGATGGCAGTAAAATGGACTTTTTTAAAGGTTTTCTTTTTTATTATCTAATTAGCAGTAGTACTTTTGTATAAATGTCGTAGGTTCTCAATTCTGTTTCATAAGGACACAGATAGTAGAGTTGAATGGTGAAACTCATTGTCATCTAATGTTAAGAGTGTTTTGGACCACAGTTGTAGCCAATTAGCTGATGGTCAGCCTTTACAAATGCCTGTACTGTGTTTACTTGCAGAACATGGCCAAAATTAAGACAGAGAATGAAAAGCTTAAAGCTGAAAACAGAGCTCTCACCCGAGTGGTTTCAAAATTATCCAAATAGGTAATTTCTCTGGTATTTGAAATGTGCATGCCATTAGTCATCTTAAGTAGAAACCAGCAAGTTTTTTATTATATGGTGTCTGAAAAGTGTTGGAATTAGTGAGCTTTTCTAAGGCTCTAAAGAAGACCATCAGTGACTCTTCTGTTGGAAGCTACTTGTATTGTAAAATGTGAGTTTGGAATAAGTCAAAGTTATTTGTTTGACTATTAAATATAGTGGTTTATGTCAGCAAGAATGATAGTTGTCTAGTTGGAATGTTGAAAAATTTTTGTAATTTGCTTCATTCAGGTGTGTTGAAACTTGTTTGAAGTTGACCTGTTAGCACTGGTCTTCATCAGTACTTTTAATTTTTTGAAAATCTATGAATAAACTTTGTATTTTAATGAGGAAAGATATATATCCAGGTTTTTATATTTCTAGTAAGTTAAACTTGCTATTAAGGAATTAATACTTATTAGTGAGTGGTATATGTACTTTGTGTTTGAACTAAGTATTCTTTAATACTTTCCAAAATATTTAGTGCCTAATATTTTTGAATTAAAACTATCTACTGCAGTTTTATTATTAATCATTTTTATCCCTTGACACATTCAGCCTGTATATGAATTACTGATATTTCTTAATTAACCATTATCACATACTAATGAATTTAATTAGGTTTTAAAAAACTTCTGCTATGGGGTTTATGGACCAAACTTTTCTTTCCAATTGATACAAAGGGTCAACATCTCTGTAAATATCCCTCTGGTATCCCCAAAAATCTTTAAAATATTTGATCATACCTTATACTTGTATAATAATAATAAGTTTCATTAATAAATGAGTTTTTAATTCTTCCCAAAGTATTTAAATTATGTACAAGAGTAACTTAGATTTAAAAACAAAAGTTTCCACTATGTCACTTTGGAGTGAACTGAGTAACTTCAAGATATTTTAGAGTTGCTGATAGATAATTTATTTAATAATATTGATATGTAGATCAGCAGTAACTTCATGAAATTCTAAGTAGTTTTATAAGTAATTCAGAATGAATGGCTGACTAAAGGCTTTTTGTATGATAAATTTGGTGACAGTACTTGAGATCAAAGTGTTATTTATAAATCACAGATGGTATCAAATATGTAATTAAAAGCTAGCTATGTGAAAAAAAAAAAAAACTTTTGAGAATTCTAGTTTAAAGTATGCCTGAAATGAACTTTAAATCAGAGTCTTGCAAAAAGCACATAAATATATCAATGCTCATTTTAAAAGTATTAATTTCACATCAGAGTACCTGATTTTATGCTGAAACATATGTAGTGTTTGTGTAGCCCTACAAGACACATCTGGAGTTACTAAAGAAAAATGTGGCAAATCAGTAATTATAAAGTGTGAATAAAGCACACACTTGTAAACACTTAGAAACAGACATTGGTCAATGAAATTTAAATTGTTATTCTAACATATGTTATTGTAAGGTGTAATTTTCTAAAACAGCTATAAAAAAAAGAATGTTTTTGGGGAAACACTGATTTATTGTTTAGTTTTGAAATTAATTATTTACAAATAGAGATTGGTGATTAATTGATTAGTGTTAATGTCATAGAAAACTATCAGTTAACTGTCATTATGGTTAAATATATTAACACTATGAAAATAATCGATTAATCAAAAATCTGTATTTCTCATTCTTACCATTTTTGATTATTTCAACTATTCAGATAATTAAAATATTAACATTATGATTTCTCATTATTACTTTTTGGATTAATTCAAGTCAACTTCAGGTGAACATGGCCCAGTGATTAGAATGCTACCTCATTTTGCAATAGTCACGGGCTCAATTCCTGCAGGCCTGACATGGCCAGATGGTTAGGGAGCTCGACTCGCAAGCTGCAGGTCATGGGTTCAAATCCCCATCCCACCAAACATGCTCGCCCTTTCAGTCGTGGGGGTGTTATAATGTGGTGCTCAATTCCACTATTTGTTGGTAAAAGAGTAACCCAAGAGTTGGGGTGATGACTAGCTGCCTTCCCTCTAGTCTTACACTGCTAAATTAGGGACAGCTAGTTCAGATAGCCCTCGTGTAGCTTTGCGCGAAATTCAAAACAAACAAGCAATCAATTCCTGCACATTGCTACCAAACATGCTCATTCTTTCAGCTGTGATGGCATTGTATTTGTGTTTTTGTTTTAGAGTTTTGGCACAAGTAATAAGGTTATCTGCTACTGACCTTAATTTTTAACTGCTAGCCAGGGGAAATACAAGCTGCCAAAAGCATCCACTGGCTGGCAAGTTTTGGGCTATTCTTTTACTAATGAATAGTGGGATTATGAGTGATATTATAACATCCATATGGCTGCAAGGTTGAAATTATTTAGTGGTATGTAATACCACATCTGCAACTCATAGTTAAATAAATAATCACATTAACCCCCAAGGGCCATGCCAGCCTAGGGGCATTATAATGTGACAGTCAATCCCATTCATTGATAAAGAGTAGCCCAAGAATTGTTGGTGGGTGCTGTCAGTCTGTTCCCTTCCATCTGATCAACACTTCAAAATTAGGTACAGAGGCAGATAGCCTTAATAGCTTTGCCATAACTTGGAAACAAAGAAACAAATATAATGCCCCTACAGCTAAAAGGGTAAGCATGTTTTGTGGGAACAGAAATTGAACCCATGGCTCTTGAATCACCATAAATTACACATGTAAATGTACCAATCGATTTTCAGTAAACAGTAACAAAATCAATAAGTTAATATAGGGTAACAAAATAAAAATATAACATATGTAATCTTTCTACTACATTGTATCTTATGTCATTTACAATAATATTATTAAAAAAAAAACTTCATAATTGGGTTGTATATGTAAATATGCTGCAAATGTAATATAGTCTTTATAATTTCCAATGACAAATACACATGTGTGTAATTGGCATTTTGCTCATTTAAAATAAAATTTCAACTCCCTTTGCACCGGAATACTGTTGTGTATAAAATAATTACCAACTTATACCCATGATAATCTTAATCTTTCCAATCTTTAACAAGAGAAATGGCACATGATGTTAAGTTTTTTTGTCCATATGTACAGTGAAGTTGCACCTAAAGAAGCTGGGTGCTTAATCATTTAGATGTAATCATGTATATTCTGTTTACCACAACATGATTGATCACCTTGATATAGTTAGTATAAAATCATAAGCTTGATCCCCAGAACTAAACATACGTATCATATGTTAGCCTGTACCTAATAGTAATCTAACTAATCACTGTTACGTTTGATATTGTTTCTGATTTATAATCAATGTCACCAAGTAATGTTTATTTTCAATAACAAAAATTCATTAGTTTTAGTAGAGTAGTCTTGTGAAAATATGTAGGGAGAAGGCCAATGAACAATATCAACTGTATGTTCTGCTTGTTACAGGTTTTCTTTTACATTGTGTTTATGTTATCTTTCACATACATAGTTTAGGATTATAGATACAACTTAGTCCTAAATTATTGTACTTGGAGATGTCTATCATACAAAATGAAGATAGTTTGAAAATCTCTCTTAAAAGAACAAAAAAGTGAAAAATGGGAAGATTAGTCTCATGATCATAATCAATTAGTTGAATATAATTACTGATTCAGTTAGATAATTCCACTAATTACCAAATCTACTTAGAAATGTATGTGTATAGAGAAAGAGAGACTGTATTTTTTTGTCTTACCATCAAAATATCTTTCCAAAGGCTTGATAATGAATCACGTTTTATTTGTACTAACGGTACAGTTTTAAAAGTAATTTGGACAATTACATGTAAGAAATAATACTTATTTAGCTCTAGGGAAGTATTTGATAATGCATCAAATTCTTTGGTGCCTTAATTAATGAAGTTAAGAAATGGGAAGAGTTCTTTGAGTAATGTACAAAATTTTGCATTGATGATATTACTTTATAAAACATCAAATTTCATCTGTGGCTCTCTATAACTTTGAGAGCAGCTAATTAACTTAGTTTACTAATAAAGGATTATGCTTTTAATTTTGAACACTTTCTGTAGTGTAAATAAGTACTTAAAATTCTATCAGTTTTTGAAATATTTTATCAAGTTATTTTGGATTGCATAAGCATAATTTGTATTTTAGTGTGAAATGTGAGAGAATTATCCATATTCACATTACAAGTTAAGTATCTTTTCTGATTTTAACAAATCCATTTTTCTTAGTCTGTTTTAGATACTAAAATATTCACTTCATTCTTCTAGCAACTTGAACAGGTGAAAGCTGAGAACCAGCGGTTACGAGATGAGAATGGTGCCCTCATCAGAGTCATCAGTAAATTGTCAAAATAGAATTAAATGTAGCTTGGGTTTACATGTCTTCCAACATGGGAGTAGAACCAAAATCACATCTAACTCCAAAAAATACCAATTTCTACAGTGTGATCAACATTGTTGTGATGGTACACTTCTCACCTTAGTTTAAGTCTACAGTTTTAGCTTTTTTAATTAGTTTTTTTACTGTGGTTTCAGTTGGATAATGAAATTTAGTCAGCATGTTTGTCACTGTCATCTAGTCTATATGATTCCATCTTTAATTTAACCTCTCAAACCTTCGGTATGTTAACAGTCATCCATGTGTGTTCATGAGTGCATTTACATTATTTCTTCTGCCTTTAAATATTTGATTTCTAAGAGTCTCAATTTTTATTTTCTTAACAAAAAAAAAATCATGTTACAGCATGAGTGCCACACATTTGCATCAGAAGTGGTTTTGCAAGTTTGCAAATACTGTGTTTCAAGGTTTAAAGTTAATAAGGACAGTTCATAGAAAAACTAATATATCCAAATCTCATGTGTTGCCCAAAAGTTAGCTAAAAAGTGATGAGAAAGTCCAGCTCCTGACAATTTTTATATTTAGAGGAGTGTTAAACATACAAGTATCAAAAGAAGGAAGAAAAGGCCATTCTTATTTTCTAACTAAACTTTTCCAAGTACCTTGAGAATTTACAGAAACATTTTAAACATGAAATAATCTTTTCTGTCCTTGTCTTCCTTTTGATTAATTTTTCCTTATATTTTTTACAAGTACAAATACAAAAAACAGTTATGGTAAAACAAACTTGTCTTCAAAATAGTCACATTTGCTGATATTTAGTGATTTTCCAAGTTAGATCTTGTTTAATGAGTGGTGAAGCTTAAATGTAATATAGTTTAAAAACAAATTAATTTTTTTGAAAAATTATATTTAGTTTGTGTTTTTTAATAAGCAGTGCCAGCATTCAAAAGTGATTGTTTGTGTAAAAACTAAGATACTGGAAAGTAAGTAGTAACTACAAATACACTGCAGTAGTTTATTTATTATTTTTTTAAACTTTTACCACATGAAGCAAACAATGGCATAGTAAGACAATGAAAGCTAATTTTTTATTGTGTCTAAATTGAGAAAACTGTGATTATAATTTTGTTTTCCTGAAAACTAACATTTAAAGTTTGAAGAAGAACATTTTCTGTAGTAGTTTTTTTTTTTTGGATTTGAGCAAAATATAAGTTGAGATTTGAAGTTTGCACCAAATAGTTCCAAATTTTTTATTGTACAGATGCGCTACCAAGTTGAATGCTCACAATAGAATGTAATTAGTATTAAGAAACAAATTATGTGTGCGTGTTTTACAAGTTAGTTACAAGAATATTTAATTAGATTTCAAGGCTGAAAGAGCTATTTGTTATGTGTACATTTTATAGTAGGAAGAAAGATATTGTTAAGGAAAGTGTAAAAGAAATGATCTAATATCTTGTTACTTGTGTTTATACAGTGAGGATCTGTGGATACTTTTAAATATATATACATTTATATGTGGATATACACAAACATTTTAAAGTTACCTTTAAGTTGATCTGCTGTCAACCAATACTTGTATGTATTATCTTACATTCTTGAAGAATGAACTTAAGCTCTCTATTGATTAGAAAATAATAAAGTTTGATTTGTTGACAATAAATAAGAAGTAAAATTTCTTTTTTTTTTACAAGGATATTGTATAGGTGTCAATATTTGTATACACAAAGTTACCACAACATTTGAAGTTTTTCATGTTATTAATTTTAGAAGATAACAACACTTTTGCCCCCCAGTGGGACAGCGGTATGTCTACGGACTTACAATGCTAGAAACCGGGTTTTGATACCCGTGGTGGGCAGAGCACAGAGATAGCCCATTGTGTAGCTTTGTGCATAACTTCAAACAAAAAACAAACAAACAGCACTTTTAGAAAGAGGATAGGCCAGTATCTTAAGGATACTTCCAAGGTACTTATATCTGTATGTGTAGTATTAGGTGAAATAATGATTGTGAATGGGACTTTACGTAGTATAAAAATATCATTAAAGTTATCTTGTATGCATTTGTTTTTATTCATTCTGCTAGCAGAACAAAGTGCTGATGCACAACTCTTTAACTGTGTATTAATGCTGGTTATTACAAGTTTGTCAGTTTTGGAAACTTATTTATTGCCATTATTAAAATTTTTCTAACCAGAGTTATGATTTTTTTACCTCTTGGCCTAATTTAATTGAAGTTACTGTGTTTAATATGATGTTACTACTTTTGATTGTCTTGATCATGATACTGTACTTACACAACCTATATTTTTTAAATCATGACACCCTGTACAGTGAAGACTGGAAATCTTTTTTTTTTAAATTCATCTAGTAAATGTTAATCGTCATGATCCACATTTGTAAAATTGCCAAACTTGTTGAGTATGGCTTGTATCAAGTAAGGTGCCTTATATCACAAGTTTTCTATGAGAAAAAAAGAATTATTCAGTAAGAATTTACTCATTTTTTTTAATCCTTCAAGATTCATTTAACAACGATTTTAGCTCAATACATTAAGTTTTATCAAAGCTTGGCACCTCTCTTTTTAAGAACTGTAATGCTTTTGTCATATTTGCATTGTTGTACCAAACTATGAAATTTTAGTATTTATGATATTTTGTAATCTCTCAACAAAAGTATTATCATATGTACAGACCAGAGTGTAGAAGATCTTAAATAAAATATCTTTACATATGACATTTGAGTGAGTTTATAAATCAAAAGTTGTGTAATATAGTGAATGTGGTCGTCAAATGTCAAGTAGCCTCTGATCAAACTAATGTTCTGGAAAGAAAGGTAATGTCACATTCAGTTTTGATTTAATTTTGAAGTTCCTCCATTCTACATATACAGAATAGATTACTTGTATATTTTCCTCATGCAATGATCTAATGTGAATAGCAAGCATTTGGGAAACTTCATAGGGCTCAAATATAAAAAAAAATGTCATTCTATTTTCAACATTTGTAAAGTAATACAGCATCGTCCACTTGCATGATAAATAGTCAACATTTAAAGCATCAGGAGGTTCAAATAATTAATAACTATAGTCCACTCAAACAAGGAAGTCACATAAATTTGTTTCTAAAGTTCTATTGGCCTCCATGAAAAAAGAAAGATTATTAAAATCAAAAATCTGGAACGATGTATAGTTATTAACTCCATGGTTTCAAAGTGACTATGAAGGGCTGAGTACGTTATATTGAAACGATTTTGATTATGCAAATCAGCAAGTCACGTGATAACCACAACCAAGGTAAGGTCATGGTGAAATGACTTGTATCAGAACTACATGTTCAGCGTTTTGTAGGTAGTAATGCTGATTGCTTTTGGGAAGTGTATGTAACAGCCTTTTTTGACCCAAAATATTCCTACACTCGGATCCTAAAGATGTTTTCGTTTAGGGCATTTAGAATTTTCAAGATGGTGATATCCCTTGTATTTAATGACATTGGAAAACAAAGGAATATGGATCAACTTGGGGTACTAGGACTATCCAGCAAATTCTACCCAACTAAGATGAAATAAGTGTGGCATCTTGTAACAATTGAGAATCCATGAACACAAAAAATATGAATACATACAGGTCAAGTTGTCAGATGCAGTGCCAATGAATTTCTTTGAGATCAAACTGTTGAAACAGGCACTGGACAAACATCATTTTTTGCAAACTAAATTTATTATGGAACATATTTTGGAGTAGGAATGTACTTTAGGGTTGCAAGGTTCTAGTCAAAATACACAGTCGTCAGATAGAGCATGCCCAAATGTGGCGACATGGACTGTAATGACGTAGTAAAGCTCCAAAATGATGTAATATAGCATACTCATTCACTGCATCGTTTTTAAAGTAATATTTTAAATTAGTGTCTTTCTGCGGAAAAACTTGTTTATTTGTTACTGAAATGTTTTATAGAAAATATCAATGGTCAGTTTTTATGTCGATGAGACCGAATTTGGATGGACTGCATAGGATGTCATGGTTTCTGGTATTCAAGTTAAAACAAAATAATAGATTATGTTAAAAGAATCGATCTGTTAACCTAAAAAAAATACTTTACAGCCAAAAGAATATTGTCCTACCACAAATATGTAAAGTTTAAGGGATTAGCTGGACTGTATTCCTCTTGTACAAAATTGGGTTCATGTTCGGCCAGGGTGACAAGTGAACTCCATTGAACTTTCTTCAGCTATCTCTAGTGACAGACCTTGCAAAAACCGCGAAAAATAGCTTTATAGAGCTGAGAAACTAGTTTTTGTACTGCACAATGTGTGTGGGAATTTGGATGGAGGTATTGGTTTTACTCCCTCATAGCCTGGAAACAAGTGTGAATTCGGCTGCTATGCAATTCAGATTCCAGGTATCGCAAGGAATTGAATTCAGAAGGTTAAAAAGAAAAAAAAAGAGGACCCGAAAGCTTTGTTTGGGAATCAAGCATATCTCCCTGACTCGCAGACCGAGTGTTAAGTGTAACGTAACATGGATATAAAGACAAACTCATTGTATGCTAATAAGATTTAAATGAAAAATTTCACAGTCTTATCCCTCAAATTACCGACTTTTTTATACCTTTTATTACTGATGAGGTCCACGTATTACTTCAAATTGGGTTTTTCCTGTTATAACTTTTAATGTCAAGAAGTAAAAAAAAAAACGATAAAGTTACTCGGTTTTCATGTAAAGTATGATACACAGAGGATTACATACATTAAGTAATAGGATTGATTGCAATATTGATGGTAATCTTGCTTACATACAGTTGTTTGGCTCGAATGTTGTAAATAACAGAATGATCCACTCACAAGCAATTTAGTACATAAATAGTTCAGACAAAAATTCCTTGTGATCCCATCAATAATTCTAAATCTAAAATTTGTTCATCAGTTTGACTAGAGACATGCGCTATAAATAAACACAAATATGAGACAGTTGAAGAGCATTATTGATTGACTGGCCGAAAAATAATTAGCAACCTCTTGCGGAACTCAAATAAAATATATTTTCTGCTTATTTGATATTTTGATTAGGATTACCCTGGGACAATATTTTAAGTGTAAATAAAGGCTTAACACATTTGAAACTTGCACCATATCCATTCATTTGTTGGCGTTGAAATATTCACTGCTAATCATTTTCTTAAACATTAAGCGGTGGGGTTAATAGATTGGAATATGAAGTATATCGCTAATTTTGAATAACAAATCGCACACCATAGTCAGTTGAATATTACAGTTTTGAACCATATCAGCTCTCGTCAGTTCACTAAACTATATTGTAAAGAATACTGAAATGAATTATACGGATGGTAGGTAGCTTGAAGTAGATTTTGTTTAAAGCATACCTTTCCACACTTTCATACAGAAATATTTTGAGGCTACCTAACTTTTCAGCTGTAATTATTTTGTTCACCATGATATAGATTGCAATAAGAAGGTGTGCGTATGAATGTTAACAAAATCCACACAAAGGTGTGTGTCTGACACCTAAGACAAAGTAAGCTAATTCAAATTTGATAGAAGTTATTAGCATTGATCTAGCTATTCTAGTGAGAGTTGAGATAGCTTTTAGTTGGTAATGGTATTGGATATGGCATCCAATATGAGCAGGTATGTTTCATTTGGCAATCTATACCACTGTAAGTTGCACAAATTCCGAGTGCAAAATATAGGCACACTTCTGAATGAGTTTTAACTCTCTTTCATTATGATAGAATACAAAGGTGTATATCTCTACTTTATATGTTTAGTAAATTTGTTATTATATCAATTAATTTCGGTAATAACTCATAGCTAAGTTGTTTTAGCTCTGGTCTCATTCTGTTAATAAATATACTTTTATTACAGAGGTTGTTTAGCCATTAGTTACAATCAGTGTTTTACTGCTATATTTTATAATGCCGGAGCCTTACCAAAATTTGTCAGACTTGTGACGTCACCGTTAGGTTAGAGATCTCATTATTCAAAACGTAATTTTCATTTTTGTGAGCCAATTCTAACAAAGAAAAGAGTGCACCACCAAATATTTAAGACTATTTACATTATTAATAATGTTAATACGGATATATTGCTGAGAGAACACACGCAACTCAACTTAGATTCCTTTAAATTAAGCAGCAAGAGGAAAAACTGCTGGGTACCATATACATATACACCACACATTTAGTCTCCATCAACTTTAGTTTTAGCAACATTAGTCTGACAAACAGTACTAATAGCTTTGACTTTTATAATGCTTTGCACGTATTCTTTGT